GGTGCAAGCCAAGCTCTCCCTATTTGTTGTGCTAACCATCTGATCAATACTCGAGTATAGTAAACAACCTAGGCGAGCTGGGTATGGATGTAGTGTCAGAACCCTTACCTCCTTTTACGCTTATCCGTATTCAACCTCTTGCAGTTGTCACTTTGCTAATCGGTTTTTGATCATTCAATGAAGTAGCAAGTTATTCGAGATACCTCTGTCAAATCTCAAATATATCGTAAAAATCACCAATACCATGACCAATGTCACCAACATCATCAAAATCACCATTTCTACCAATATCACCATTTTCAGCAATGTCATCAATATTATTTTTCCAAGGTGACTTTGATATTGGTGACTTTGATATTGGTGACTTTGATATTGGTGACTGAGTACGAATACAGTATGGTTCGAATCATTCCGGAATTTTCAACATCCGGTTAACACTCTTCCCGAGGCTAGCTGGACTGGAATTACATCAAGCTAACATTCAACAAAGACAGATGATCCCTTGGCTATTTGAGACTAATCCCACTATCGACATCTTGCAATTCCCCATGTCTCCTTGCCATCATCCCATATGTTGGTTCCTTTGGAGTTCGGGAACTAGTGATCAGTGTCACGGCCTGGCGTATTGCCGGTCGAATCTATTACCTGATAGAGTCATTTTCAAGGTCGATATTGAGGATTGCAGTAGAAAGTCAAAGGATAATTCGGAAAGAGCAATGACCGGACAGAAGTCTATAATCGTCATGGCAATTGCTAACTATATAATTGCTTGTTTATCCTGCTTTTATCAGTCCTTAACCAACACACAATTCTGCCTTCCTCTTCGTTTTCCAATTAAACTACTTACTTTCAACAATTGCCTAAGTCAAATCTCTCTCCCAATCAATCACAACCACCATGCTATTCTCTAGCACCACCATCGTCGCTATTGCTAGCATCTTAAGTGTTGCATCAGCTCTTCCAACAAAAAGACAAGCAGCGCCAACCGATGCGGACATTCTCCAATATGCCTTGACGCTCGAACACCTAGAGAACGCATTTTACAAGAAGGCTCTCAGTGAAATGCCAGAACAAATGTGGCTCGATGCAAATTTCACCTCTTCCTTCTACAATCAATTGAAGTACATTGCGCATGATGAAGAGGCACATGTTGTCTATCTTCAAAGTGGCCTCACCGCTGCAGGTGCTGCCCCTGTTCAAGCTTGTGAATACAAATTTCCATTTACGGATCCAAAATCATTCGTTGCTCTCGCTTCCGTCATTGAGGGTGTCGGTGTTTCCGCTTACCTCGGAGCAGCAGCCGACATCACATCAAAGGCCTACCTTACCGCAGCTGCGTCTATACTTGCCACTGAAGCTTTACATCAATCTGCTGAACGCAACGCGAATGGTGAAATTCCAATGGCCAATCCTTTCGCCACACCCCTTGGATTGAACGCCGTCTACTCCATCGCGTCATCCTTTATCGTCTCTTGCCCATCTACCAATGCTGCCTTGCCCGTAATGGCCTACCCATCCCTCGCCCTCAAGTCCGGCTTGCCTACTGCACCAGGCGCCAATGTTGCCCTTGTACCAGAGACGGCTCCTTCCGGGACGTTCTTTACTACCTTTGCGAGCGGACTCGACACTATCGCTGTTGAGAGCCAAGTCGGCAGTGACGGTTTAATCATGACTGCAGTTCCAATGAACATCTCGGGACAGAGTTATGCCTTCTTGACCAATGACAATTCTGGCACCTTAACTGATTCCAACATCATTGCTGGTCCAGCTATTATTGAGGTTACACCTGATTCGCCAACATTCGATTTATCAATCATCTAAAACAGTGGCTTTTTGCATGGTGGAGGTATGAATAATAAATGGTAGTAATTTTTGGATGCATTCGGTGGTCAAATAATGGTTTTAATGGGGTGTGTGCTGAGTACTATTTTATATCTAACAACGATACCCTCGTCAACTTCTGAACTTTTCAATATATAGAATAATATTCAACAAATAAAATTATTAGCAGATGTTCTTCGGGGAAATAGTGTTTTTTGCATTGACATTCTTCGATTTAATCTTCAATTCATCCAATGTCGTAAAGCGAAGCATTTGCCTAATCAATTGCCCCTCTCTGCCCCTCTCGAGCCCCTCCGCCAAACAGCCCACAAAAGAAAGGAAAATTTTCCTTCCAACCCACCTTTAGTTCGAGCTACGGGATGGCTAATATATTGCTTAATATATATATTTAAGTCATCAATTGTTACAAACAGTCATAGATTCCATCAGATGTATATTTATCTAAAGGTACTGGCCTGCTGGCCCAATGGCAAGGCGCTTGACTACGATACATGTAGGGGCTGAAAAACTTCTATACAGTTGATATCAAGAGATTGCAGGTTCGATCCCTGCGTAGGTCAAATACTTAGGAGCATGTCATCTATTTGTGTGTAACAGATATTTTGCCAAATTTGATTACGCAGCGTCCAGAATTTGGTTTGCAAGCTATTTTTGACGAAGTTTTGCACTTCTCAATGGCTAACTTAACGTTTCTAAGCATTCGATTCTTCAAGGATTCTCCAGTACTGTCAGATGGATCGATCTTTTTGGAACGAATGGTGGGCAATATAGTTACAAAACTAAGATCGGATTATTCAAATGCCCGTCTGGGAGCAACCGATGTCGTCGAGTATACGTTCCCTTATTTTCGGAAGTTAGGATAGTCCAATGATAGAAGTATAATAAAACTGTACGCTATAGAACTCGGTGTTCGTTTTGATAATGTTCTTCAGTGTCTTTCGATCCTTTACATCAGCCTGGGTCATAGGTATCAAAGAATCAATAAGAATTTATTCCTCGCTTAACCGATATCCCTGCTACGTGCACGACCCTACTATGTGTACGCTTTTATTATTTATATAGAAAATTGAATTAAAAGTTGAAAAAGCGATATTATAATTTGAAATTCAAAATTGAGATAATTGAAATAAACTTATATAATATTTTGAAATAAAAAAATTAAAAATCTCAAAAATTAATAATCATAATAAATGATAAATAAGATATCAACTTTTATAAAAAAAATTATTTATTTATTAATATATTTTATAAATATAATTAAAAATTATAAGTATTTTTAATGAAAATTATGAATTCCATATATTATAATATAAGATATTTGAAAAAAAAAAAACTAAAGTTTTTATCGAAAATTGAAATTAATATTATATTAAATTCCTAATATGTTTTATAAAAAATATTTTAATAATTAATTATTAATAGAATAATGAATTTATAATAATTTTATTCTATTTTTAAGTATATAATAACAATAATCTGTTAAAAAAATATAAATATAAATGTTAAGATCTATAACTTAGTAATATTATATTTAAATAAAGATTATACAAACTTATTAAGAATTGTGATTTATCTAATAATAAATATAATATAATTATTTATTAATTTTTTTTTAAAAATTTCAATTTAAACTTTTCTGTTAATATGGTTTTTAATCAATTTTTAAAGAATGAAACTATATTGATCAGATTTGATTTAATAAAAAATTTAAATTTTGAAAATTAAATTATTAATTAATTTATTTATAAGTAAATTATTTTAAAAATTATAAAATAATTTTTTATAAAATTCACTTTATAAATAAATCATTTTCAAACCTTTAAATTAAATTATTAATAAATTTTTTATAATAAAAAATTATTCTCAAAAAATTAAAAATAAATTATTTTTAATATTTCTCTTATAAATAAATAATTGAGAATATTAAAAAATAAATTATTTATAATATCGTTTATATATAAATTATTTCAAAAAAAAAAATATAACTTATTATTAATTAATAATAAAAATAAATTACTTATAATATTTAATTAATAAAATAAAACTATTTATAATACCTTTTTTATAAATAAATTTTACTAAAAAGATTATTAAAATAAATATTCATAAAACCTTTTTAATATATAAATTTTTTTAATATATAAATTTTTTTAATATATAAATTTGTTTAATATATAAATTTTTTAATATATAAATTTTTTTAATATATAAATTTTTTAATTTATAAGTTTTTTTAATATATAAATTTTTTTTCAAAAAACTATAAAAATAAATTATTATAAATATTTCCTATATAAATAAATTACATAGAAATACTCAAAATAAATTATTATTAAAATCCTTATAATAAATAAATAATTTTAAATAACTTTAAATATAATTTTTTTATCATACTTTTTTTATAAATAAACTATTTCTATATATCAATATATTAGAAAACTTATAAAAAAATTCTTTTTTTAAAAATAAATTATTTATAAGATTCTTTTTATAAATAAATTATTCTAAGATAATAAAAGAAATAAATCATTAATAGCATTCTTTTAATAAATAAATTATTTCAATACAATTATGAGATTAGATTATTTATAAGATTGTTCTTATCAATATATTTTTTTTAATTACTATTTGATAATAATTTATTTCTAATGATTTATTTCTAATAATTTATTTCTAATAATACATTTCTAATGATTTATTTCTAATAATTTATTTCTAATGATTTATTTCTAATAATTTATTTCTATGTAAATTATTTCTATGTATTAATATTTTCAAAAGTCAAGTAAGTATTTCTTTTTTTAAATTCAATTCTTTATAGATTCCCCTTACAAATAAATGATTTTAAATAGATTATACAAATAGATTATATCAAAATAACAATAAAAATCAATTATCAGTAAGATGTTTATAAGTAAACTATTTTTAATAGATTATAAAGATAATCTAATAATGAGATTTCTCTTCTAAAATAATAATTCTAAATAATATTTGAAACTAAATTATTAATAATATTGTAAAACTTACTTTATAAATAAAATTTTCTTTAGATATAAAATTTGTTCTTAAGATACTAAAATGTCTCTACAAAAAAGAAGATAAGTACGTTCCAAATACCATCATTCAAATCCCCAAGACCAATATTCCTCCACCAATTTTCAAAAACTACTCGCCCTTTCGATATTTCGTTCTTCCACAATATCAAAAGTCCGTTCAACATTCAATCCCTCGCCTACTCTGCCTCTGTTCTTATTTCCCTGCTCATCTATTTCATTTCTCTTCTTCTCCGTTAATTTCTTTCTCTCTTGCCTCTCGGAGACCATTTCTCGTCTTTCTCTCTCTCTATAAGCTCTAGTTCCCGGTTTCGGATTCACAAGAAGGTCATCTTGATCATACTTCTCCTCCGCATAATCACACATAGATTTAGTCGAGTTCCCACTAACCGATGGCCCTGCATTTGCTCCTTTATGTACATTCTCCGTATCTTGTAGAGCACCAGCAGCCCATATCTGCGTTGTATGTGTTGAATTCTGGTTTGCGATGGTTGGGTCTAGATTTGTGCTTTGATATATTGCTGAGTTTGACTTGGAGTGCGAATGATAACGAGCTTTCGAATCCTGATTATTTTCTTTCTTGTCATGAACAAGTGAAAAAGCCAGAGAAATAGGATTGAGATGTGTTCTGAAAGTTCCCCAAATTCCCCCTGAAGTTTGTGACGGGATTTTATCCTCCCTCTTCCCTACCTCATGGTCCGGAAAATGTGAATAAGCATCATTTTGACCCGGCGTCATCGAAACCGGGGAGATGAAATCTGAATTCTCGCAATTAGATTTAGATGAGAGGGAAGCCTCTTTCTCATTTATACTTTCGTAAGTTGTCGCAGTTGAAGGTTTATGAGTCGAGGGATTGTAAGCGGTCGTATGGTGGGAGCTATAAACTGATTTGCTGGAGTTGATAGAGTCATATGTTTGAGTATGAGAAGGCTTTCGACTGGTGGTATTCATTCTGTGGCTCTGTTAGATTTAATACTCGTAGGTCATGGATACTTTAGGACGCATCGAAAACTTACACCTCAGTGCCCAAGGTAGTCGTCGTAGCCACGCTCTGCTTTCTACTCTTCGCCTCTTGATCCTCAAAATAATGAATTGTTCTGGTGATCAAATCAAATTTACCTGCCCAACTCCCATTCACACTCCCATTACTCATTCCCATCCTACTATCCCTCTCCATCTTCTCCACCTTTCTTTCTCGCATACTCATTCCCAATCTCGGCCAACACCTCGCCAATCCCAATTTACACAATCCCCTTCTATAAATCTCAACCCCCTCACTATTACAACCCCAAAATACCACAATTAAAAAAGCCAAAGCAGCCCAATTCCATGCATCATACTGCATACCCTTTGGTGCATCTTCAATCCTCCAGAAGACGATCGAAGGCCAGTATAAAGGATCATGGATATATGACCAAGAATATGCATGTAAGGGCCAACTAACATTAAGATAAAAATAATATATGACGACTGGAAAATAAATCAGGAGAAGCATGAGAGACATTGAAAAAAGCTTAAAGAAGCGACGAGGACTAAGTCCCGAAGAGGAAGAGGAAAGGGTACTGGTGAAATTTGTGCGATGCCGGCGGAGACGATAAATCACTAGAACTAAGATTTCGTTAGTTTATTTCCCGAGATTTGCTTCTCAAAATGATGAAAATGATGAAATATCACAATACATACAAGCAAAATAACAATTCAAACATGAAAAAATGAGTGGCCAAATATGTAAAATAACGATACTTGGCCAACTCAAATCTGTCGCATCAACACATCCGTAAATTGTCATGACGGTGAACCTATTAGACTGTATTGTATAATGTAGCGCTACCTGTAAAATCGGAATCGTAAAACAAAAAGCACAATCTTTTGCCACTCTTCTTCTTTTCATTGCTCGAGTTTCATGCATACATGCATTATCCGTATTGACCGCTCTTGCCAGAAATAAAGATATGCAACATGTTGTTGAGGTCATAGCTGTGTAGAGGGCTTGACGGATCAGTACTTGGATATCGCAGACTATATGACCAGAGAATCGAGAGGTGAGGGAGTCGGTAGGCCAAAGGAGAGCATTCATGGCGACGAATATGAGAGAAATTACATTTATTATGACAAGAGAACAGGCGGCTATGTTTCTGACACGGTAGAGAAGGCGGAATGGAACGATGAGAAGTAATACGAATATTATCGAGAATATTGGTAGTGTAATGGCATTGGCGGAGACGGGATAGTTTACCCCCGGTGGATCAGGTCCTGTGCTTATGATCGTGGTCATGATGTTGAAGTGGAATGTGCTTCTGAAAGTAAGAGGTAAAGTTGAATGAGTATCAAGGGATGAGAGGTAGATATTTGAATATCACCTCTCTTCGACATAGCAGCAATCAATTCTCAGTATAGGAAGGTGAGACGGATATGAGTGTGCCGAAACAAATCGAGGTAAATTGAGATGATAGCAGGCAGCTTAAGCAAGTAGAGACAAGAGAAGTGGATGAAACAAAGAATATTTCTATTTTGATGTTAAGCTATCATGAGAGGTGGAAATTTCCACGAAACGTGTTTGTGATAGACCGATCAAGGCTCAAGTATTACCAAGAGGTTACTTCTGAGGGATCGATCATTCCTACTTTGAGTATATCTGTAAAGCTTTTAGTCCTCATCTCTCGATTGAATTGTATCTCTATTGGAGAAAATTCTATCTCAGGCGCCGGAAACTCAATAAACATGGATGTAAAATTATCAATTGATGAGCTCCCGAGGTCGTAACGGAACCCCAAAATCCCAGCATGAATGATTGCAATCCACCAAGTTTCATTCCTCACCTCAAACTCTCAATAAGAAATTCAAAATCAGAACCCGAGACACTTCTCAGCAAAATATGTGAATGATCTATCCTTTCTATTGAGGAATCAGATAATGTAATGTGGTTGGCTAAAAAAAATCCTATTGAGCAACTCATCGGGTATAGCGAGAAAGGGGAACCGAGACGCTAAAATCCTCAATGAGTTTGGCGAGGCATGCTCGTGGCCGAAGGAATATTACAGGAACAGGAAAATGAATCAGAAATGTATTGAAGACATGGAAGAATAAAAGGGGCCGTCATACTGACGTACTCATGATCAGGTACCTACACTTAAGAGATAAATTCTAAGCAATGAAAAAATGAAATCACCTCATGTCAGTTCCATATTCTTCCTAAAATTATGCTGTACACATCTGTTCTCATACGTCCCACACTAGCGGAAGTGACATCTCAGCGGATGTTACATCGACTTTTAAGCACATGCAATAACTGCGTCCTTGGAGGTATAATTAGGGTTAAAACACAAGAACCCGTGTTTTGAAGCTGTTGCGCCTCAAAGTTTGGTGTTAATTTTGTGTGGTCATTGTCGGAAATCTGGCTTTGCTGCTGGTGTGATCCATAATAAATGTTATGAATGAAATCGCGGAAAATTTTAAGAACATATTCATCTAAAGATGGAGATCCGTGAGTAATTTCACCTTCCACCAGTTCATAATCCAAATCCTTCCATGTTCGGTTGAGGAACATGGATTCTAAATTGTAGGTCATGATTTTGATGACTTTACATACCACCAAGAGCCATCGTCAAATGTTGAAATCAGAAGTTTTGAAGCCAGAGACTTTTATATGACATCTAGTGACCAGAGGACTGATGTAAGGAGGAGAACAAGTCCGAATAGAATAAGATTTCCAATACCCATCTATATGGAAACAACACTCCTACGCAATCACCTCTTTTCCAGTATTCCGCATAAAGATATCCTCATTTCTCTTTGACATTCCTTTTCAACCCAAATGAACATCGAAACCCATACCACAACTCTCGACCATACACACCCCAAATAAAATTCTCACAATTTCACCATACAATCCTTTATCCAGGTCTTTGTATCTTCCTGTGCATCCATTGCCTCCTTCAACTTATCCTTCATATCAATAAATGCCTGTGGCGCCCCCGTATAAATTTTAAGAACAGCCTCCCCACCCATCATCATCCACTTTGTAGCCATTGTCACCGAATCATCTAGCAATGGATCTTCCGTACCACATGTGAAAAGAGCACTTGGCAATCTTCCTCTGAATTTCTCGAGATCTTAATAGTACGGGGATATTAAAGAATCATTCTTTTGTTCGTCAGACATATTTGGAAGGAATGCGTCGATGAATTTTCGCATCAAATGATGGTCGAGCATTAAATTTGGGCGGATAAAGTTGCGACATTGGGAGAGCATTGTGAGATCGTATATACCACAATGGAGAATCAGCCCGGACAACTTAAAATCAGGAAGGTATTTGAGGAGATGAAAGGCGACGAGTAAGGACAAATGAGCACCTGCACTCTATAAAGTATTAGTAGATGCATCATCTGATTGCAAAAAACCCCACGTACCTCTCCCCCAATAAATTTCAACGAACTACCGAAAACTTCTTTCCCATGCTTAACCAAGTATTCTCCCACGTCAATACAATCATTCGGACCACATGGAAATGGACATTCAGGAGCAAGTCTATAACCAACTGACACAATTGCCAGGTCTCCAGAATCAGCATAAAACTGGAGGAGAACATCGGCAGAATGTTGATTGCCAAGAACCCATCCACCACCATGTATAAGGTATCCGATTGCTCTTGTCTTCTTTCTTTCCTCAGTAGTTTTGCGCCAAGATGGATGTATCAAACGACAAGGGATTACTCTATCACTATCACGAGAAGGAATTTCTATGTCGAGACCATCTGGTAAGAGTTCAGGCTTAGGGATAGGGGTTTCCCCAGCATCTCTCATCTTGCGATATTTTGAGGCACCCATCTGGAAAAAAGCAGTAAGTAGTGAACAAACTGCAGATGAGTTGACAAACAAACCTCAAACCATTTCGGACCATCCCTCAGCAAGTTGATCAAATCCTCATTAGCTTTAGCTGTACCTGCCGATGCATTGCATGGTTCAAACTTTGCAACATTGATATGAATATCTGACTTGAGGGGCATTGTAGTTAGACTAAGACTGGAAAGGTTTAGAGTGCAGGAGATAAATATGACAATTGTGAAAGGAAATCTCAACATGTTTGGGAATTACAAGTGAAGGGCATCATCCATTCTTAAACCTCGAGATCCGAAATGTTGAAAATCATCTTGAATCATGTTGACTCAAGCTTTCTTACTCGTCTTCATAATTCCTCTTGGTTAGATCTTCGGACCTCGGAAACCTCCCCCCCCCCTTTTCTCTCAAGGTTGTTTGGATCGGAAGCCGTCAACAATAGAATCGGATTTATATGCGTTACACCAGCATGACAACAGACGATGTGACGTCCTCGATTAATAGAACCCTTATGATGCGTATCTCAAATCCCGTGTGACATTCGACTCACGGAAACCAATCACAGAGTCGTTACAATGACGTGTATTTCCAAAGGCTTGTGAACAGACCTGCTTCATTTATTCTGTGCAAAGAGTTAAGGAAAGTGGCATAAAACATTTCATTCATTGGTTCTAACTTGATGATTGTTATGATCAAATTCCAACTTTCCAACTGTTAAATCGTCATCTCTTTGATTTATTTTGTACACGATCAATAAGTTTTGGATGAGGCGCATATCGACCATTCGAGTTTCTCTTAGGTTTCTCCATTGGCTCTTGGCCGCCAAGTAGAAATCGGGTGTAATTAACCACCGAGAGAAGTGTTTTCAACGGAAGGCTCGCGATAATTCCGAAAGCTTGTAATGGGAGAATCATAGCTGAAGATATCCAATCGAATACTATTCCGAGAGTACCGCGCCTTTGTGAATTATTAGCTGCTGCTGCTGCCAATGAGATAGCATCATTCAATCGTGCTTCCAAATCTAATAGACGGCTTTCCGTTTGGAATGATTGGAGTGTAGCACGCTTTTCATAACGGCGTACAGCTCGGTTTAGAGCATCTAGATCTGGTTGCATTGTGCGACGAACTTCTGTAGTAAGAATTGCCGATTGTTTCCCATTTAAGACCAGCTCTGGTATGCTTCCGGCAGACGACTCTACATTCAAAGCTCGCGCCTCTAATTCCTCCAATCTTCGGACCAACGCGTCATTGTCCTCCGCCTTTTTTTCACTCGAACCATCGTACGAATGCGAATTTACAACTCTTTGTAATTGCAGTGTTCTTGCTCGCAATAACCTGACTAAGTGTGCCATTGGTCTCAGTTCTGATGCTAGTAAGAATATGGTCAAATTGTAATTCGAGACCAATCCTTCGGAGGGGCGGCTCAATTGTGATCGTATTGAGTGTAGTATATATGCCCCGACTATTGGAAATATGAAACATGATAATAAAGCCAATATCTCATGAACGTATAGTTCATTGGTAGCAGACTCATGTACAGGTTGACGTCGTTCTGTCTTGGAATGCGAGTTCAATTTGTCGTCCGACATGTCTTCGGGGTTCTCGGTCGTAGAGTCCATTGCGCATTCATCCCCGCTTCCTTCCTCCCGAGCCATTTCCTCATTGTATACCTCTTTTTTTCGAATCGACTGTGCTGAATGATACCAATCCCCTGAATTGTTAGCATGCATTGATCATGGACGCGTCTCTAACGCCGCTCGCTGCCATCATATCTACATCGCGGATTCCAAATTTCTGGGAATAGATGACTTACATGGTACCCTTACAGACCAATTCAATAGAATGGCCGCAAATCCAAGTAGCATAATATCTGTTATGACCGAATTTCCATTTGTGAAGAAGAGACCACCAATTGCTGGCAGAAGGGCAAAGGCTAGAGGGGCCGAATCCCAGTGTGAAGAATCATGACTATGTTCGTCCTTCATATCGCTAGGTTTAGGAAATAAAAGATCGTCTGTGGAATCCCTCAAACTCTTGTTAAATTCGTTCAGCGAATATTCCGAGAAGTTTGAACTCCTACGGCGACTTCCTCCTGAAGGTATTCCATCTGTGGACCAACGATTGGTACGACGTCGATTTAATGTTGCTGTAGGCTCATCACCGGTATTATTTGAATCTCTGCCAGTTGGTGATATACTCTTGGTTGGATTTGGTGATGAGGACCTATCGGCATTGATGATGTTGAGGTTGAGGTTGTGGTTGTGGTTTCCGTTTCTGTTTCGAGGTTCTTCAACATTATTCATATTGCCAGGGTTTATCTCGGGGTGGGTGGATCGATCTTGAATGGTCCTGCAGTGTGTCGTGTGGGGAAATGATGAGGCGAAAGGTAAATCTGATGAAAATAATGGGGATGATGGAGATGTTTCTGCAAGGTACTCGAGTGCTGTTGAAGTTTATTATATTGCGTGTAGGTAGGTACAAACGACGGAGAGGTTTTGATGTCGATAATACTAGGTAATTAACCACAGGAGTTGAATGAATGTTAATAAATATGGTGGCTTTTACTGATTAATTTCTTGCTCTTACTTTTGTGTCGCATTTCCGAAACTCAGCTGTGGTGTTGATGTAAATCTTAACTCAATAACCTCATGGCTTCCAGCTACCAACCTGCCTAGGTGCGCAATTGATTATCTAGTGCAGACTTCCATGCACATCAATTAAAGAGTACAATTCTATCTATAGTTCCGTTGTTTCAGGAAATATACCGATTACGTATAGTTACGTATACATGTAGAGATACATAATAAATACGCATAGATACCTACGTACTGTATATACAAGACAGTGCTCGTGCTCGTACATACAAGCCTGAGTACGAGCCAGGCCAGGGTCCAAGCTAGGATTTGCAATCGTCATTCTTCCGCTTAGCTCCAACATCAACATTTGCTATTTGTCTCCCTTCGTACTCGTCATTCCTGGTGTTCCTACCAAAACATTCCACCGAATCTAATACATAATTATAGAAAGGCTCCGTAGTTAAAATCCGTGAATTGATGATCTTACTGAATTCAGTTCATAACCTAACGAAGGACTCACTACCAATGATAGATATTGTAGATAAAAGTTCACAAGCTTAAGCTTACTGCCGAAAGCCCAAATCTAGGTACGGTATACCGAGCTCGCCTAGGTGCTGGTGATGACCTTCAGCATACGCTAAGCTTTATCCTTCATGGCCCGTCCTGTCGCGAGTATCCACGCTGGATAGATTCTACTGTAAATTTACAGTGGTAACTAAAGTCTCAAAGGCAAAATATAAATTTAGAAACCCTGAATGGCAGGAAAAAGGTGTTATTCATTTGTTTTTGTAATTTATATCCATTTCCCCCCTCTACATTCACTCTTACAAGCCACGGAATCTCTCCTTTCCCCTTTCCACAAATCTTAACGGCACTTTATCCTCTTTCGCCATCTTCAGCACTATTTGCGCTTGATTGCATCTTCCAAGTACCTCCTTTGTTTCTCTAATAGCTTTTTCATAAACTTCCCTCCTCTCTTCATCATTCATACTCTGTACTTCCTCATCACTCGCCCATCTAGATACATCCAACTCCACACTATATTTCTGAAATATCACAGTCAAAACAGCAATCATTTCCACCTGGGCGAATTTCTTGCCCGGACAAGCGCGTGGTCCCTCGCTAAAAGGTATGAATGCTCCTTTGACTGGCTTGAACAATGTAGAGCTGTCATTGTCAAATCCATCTCTTACCGAATCCTCTTCATCCTCGTCCGCATGTGTCATCTCATCGCGCTCTTCCACTTTCTCGACAATCCATCTTTCCGGTACAAAATCATTCAGATCCGTGCTTCCTTCCTCAGAAACCCTATGAGGCCAATACCTCGGATTCCTGTGTGTCCCTACAGTATTCAAATGAATATAACATCCTTCCGGCACCACTTTCTCCACTCCATCAACTATAACCTTCTGTTCACCTACAGTAATCTTAGGGATTGTCTCCGCTATCGGCATCAATCTCAATTCTTCATTCAGCACCGCTCCTACCATGCTATTGTACAATTTTGGAAAATCACTCGCATATGTCCAATTCTGTGGTTTCTTTGAGCCGACAATCAAGTCGATATCAGCTTGCATAGATGTCTGAGACAAGATGGAAATGGCGAGGTAGACAAAACAAAGCTGGATGCTGGATGCAGTTGTCTCATGACCCGCGAGGAGAAAAATAAAGGCATTTGATTTTATTTCGGCTTCGCTGAGGGGCAAGTCTTCGTTTTTATTTGATACCACGGGGTTCTTAGGGGAGTTCAGAGTCTCAGTGGATGCTTTGAGCATATTCCCTTGATCTTGTTAGTGTCATCAAAAAGGATGTGCAAATTATAGTTGCGATCTTACCCATTAAATCCATGGTAAATTTGTCATCATCTCCAGCTGATATTTGTTTCTTTTTGTGCTCGAGTAATCCGGTAACGTATTGATTTGTTTCTTTAAACGCCTTGTACACTTTTCCATGACGCTTTATAGGTGAAATTTCTTGAAATGTTAGAAGAGTTGATGCTTGAGGGGGGACAAAGTAACTTACTCAACATCCATTGCGGCCATAACATGAGCTATATCACGATAAGTACCTCTTTTTTTCTATGAATTTCATTCCATTGTTACTTACAAGAAGACTACCCAAAACAGTATTAATGCAATCTTTGAATCCCAACGAATGATCTCCAACCGGTTTACTCAAACCCAAATTCGGCATCTCTCCCCCTTCAATCTTCAAATTCCCATTACCCATATATTCTTCCTCTTCTCCTTCCCACAACTGTGGTACTCCAAATCCTACAGCGCAAATGACATGCAAACTTAGAATTGCCGTATCACTCCCCGCATCTTCTACTCTCATCTCCTCATCACCCTTCTCGCTACTTCTACCCCTCCTCCCCCAAATTCTAATCATCCCCTCCGCTTGTCTAATACTCTCTGCCCAAACTAAATTTATACTTTTTTCACCAAAGCTCTTCCCTACTACCCTCTTGTGTCTCCTCCATTCCTCTCCCTCAATTGTCACAATGTTCTTCCCGAAAAATTCCAACACCTTATAATTCTTCAAAGGTTTAACGAAATCATTTTTTCGCGTTGTAAATTGCGCTATCAACCCTGCGTTTGTCGTGCGTAAGAGATTGAGGTTCGAGGCCGCGAATATGTAGGTGTCTCCATGGAGATCATAGGAAGAGCGGAGATTGAGGAAGGAGTTGCGGTGGTTGGCTATGCTTTGGGGATGTTAAATGATTTGATGGGCTATTTTCTGGGAGGAGAGGGGGTTTGGAGTAGGAGGAAGCAATAATGGAGAGAAGAAAACTTACCATAGCCATCCCCAATGCCTCGTCCAAGGTACTCTCCTCAGAATTGGAATAATAAATTTCAACGTCAAAATGTTCTTTAATCCAATTGGCGCAAGAGCTAGAACAAACCATTAACATCAGCGTCTTTATTTCCTTCCAGACCAAACATTGAATACACCCACGCGTCTCAATAACCGGAAATCCAGTTTTCTGTGCTATCCTCCTAGATTCCAAGAATCCATTGTAAGCATTTCCCACTTTCCACAGCAACAACGTCCATAAAACTAGTCCTATGAACAATATTCCGACCATTCCGAATTCTTCGACGTTCAACGCGATGCACGCACGGTAATTTGGTAGGATGATAAATTACGAATCACGACTAACTATCCGAAATAAAAACAAAAATTCAACGTGTAGTTGGAGAATCGTCAATTGATTGATCAAATAAATGATCGTCAATCACTTCAACCCTGACATGAATAAAAAGAGTAAGTCGACCGAGTGAAATTCAATATATGTGATCCTTCATACATGTACATATGTAAGATACGGAGCTGTACCCCTCATTCATAATCTCGACACCTATCATGATAGCTCGTAGTGTAGATAATCCTTCATAGATGGATAGCCTAGGTACGCATGTAAGATGAAGGAAAACATGTGGATAGAGATAAGCATAAGCATAAGCAGAACCTCCATTCACAACAACTATTGAATTTTATATGGAGGTATGGAGTAACTATATTTATTTATTCGTCCATGATTCTCCAGGAATTCCCTCCAAAACCAGGGTCTCGTATGTAGGTAGTATTCTTTAATCATAGTTTATCTATGAATGGAAGACATCATCTGTACTTCGCACATTTAATTATTCGCAAAGTCTAGACTTCAAAAGCTCAAAGCTCACAGCTGAAACCCCACTCCTCCCCTGAAATGATGAACCAACCATAACAACCACCCCCTCGCCCCCGCCCCCATCAATCCTACCACCCTTGATAACGTCCTTGTTGTCCGTAGCCATATTATCGCCGATTCGACCCTGCCGTACGTATATATGTAGCCTCGAGGTAGCTACATATCTCTAGATACCTACCTATACAAGCGAGGTCTCCCAACAAGGTACGAGTACTCGAACAGGTAAACATTTTCATCCCCCAAGATCAGCTATTCATTCAACGAAAATTGATCAACTGCTGCTTGGAGCCACTTAAAGCCACTTAAAGCTGTTCAAATACGGCCAGGGCTGACGTGCATATAGATACAAGGTCTGTAAATTACATAGCATCCAAATACCTCCGGTAGATACACTCAGGTACACACAGCTTACCTAGCTATAGATTTTTTTGTACTCCATGTAACCTTAGCACTAGCAACTCAGGGTAGCAGCAATTCAATACGCAATAAATCCATATGGTAAAACCGTAAAACCTCGGCATAAGAAAAATCCAACAAGATTTTGATTTCTTTTGTTTACTCAAACTTTCTTTGGTCCTTAAGACCCATTTAATTGAACTTCGATAACCTTACATCATTACTGTATCGATTGCGAGCTCCAAAAGCTCCAAAAATAAGCCTGTCATACTTCGTTTGGATAAACAAGCCCCAACACGCATGATAGTATCCAAGCACGTATTCCTAAAGGCAAACCCTGAATTTAGATCCCTTCCATGTATTGATATCTGTTCTCATACATGCAGTACCTACGCCATACCATTGCCGTTTCCATACCTTGCCAGCCGCTTGTACCGCACATTTCCTAATTTACCCATCCGTCCCGATTGCATAACCACCCTTCGATGAGACCCTTCGATATCAGCCATTCATCACATCCTCATCCCTCAACCTCGACCCTCAATCTCGTCCTTCGCCCTATCCATTCGAATTTTCATCTATTGTCCCAACTCCTCGGTCTAGGTCGCCGTCCGTCGCTAATATCCGAGCACACCGGGCACCAGCAAGGCCAGCACGGACACCCGTACGGGCACCAGTGGAAGCCATTTTTCGCTTGCACACCACTATCGGCAATTAGAGTTTAAATTTTGACCCAGTATAGGGGACCTATCTGCTATCAAGCTCTTGGCCCCTCTAAGATAATGATTATGCTGGAAGAAACATTAAATGAATACTCTCTGATATTGGAAAATTCTGATCAATTAACAAAATGGTTAAGGATTAACGATTGATCAGTGCGTGGTGTGAATATAAGCTGCATGTGAAATACCCAGACACATTATGCATCCCTCCCTTTCCATCCCTAACCTACGCATTACTGATAGACAAAAGTACCTCACTGGTACGTCATTTCAAATCCATTCTCTTGACCCCGTAATTTAGACCTCAAAGCAGCTCTCCCTCAAACAAATCCACAATTAATTCATTCTCCTATGGGAAGTCGGCGGAAATGCTACGGAAAGGTCACGGAAAGAGATATTATAATGGTAGCCAAGAGATAAAAATGCAAACGAATTTCAATACATCCAAACAGAATCTAACAAACGCTCAAAAAATACCAAACAAGTATGTACTGCGTAAACAAATCAAGGCACTACTTCAATTCTCCACCCCCAAATGCCTCTTCGTTAAGCTCCTTTAGTCGCTTCGCATACACGCATCCAAACTTCATATTCATGCATATGCAATTCTACAAACGGAATCAGGTACTATAAATTATATATTATCCATATGTATAGGCAGGTAAAAGGGTAGGTTCTAGTACATGCACATGCAAATCATACCCATCTAGCCGCTCACTCAAGTACAATATTCATTGATAATTCGAGATCTTTTTAAATCTAGACCCGACTACTGTATACATTCTCGTCTCATTTCTTCTTCTTCTTGCTTTGCTTTGCTTCTCTCTACTTTGCCTGATTTCGTTCCCCGCATTTTCATGCTTCTTACCTTCCAATGCCATATATGCAATATGAGGAAAGGCAACGAATTAATGAGTAGATATGTAAAGAAAAATATTTAACTCTCCTAATCATAATTTAGCCCGACTGGCCAGCCATAAATATTGCCGCCTCTGAGTTCCATACTTCAAGTAACCTCTGTGAGTCGAAAAGTTGCATCCATAATTCCATGTACAAATTCCCTTCATTCACGTATCCAACCATCCACCTCATATCATTACCCTCATAACACCAATCCATTCCGTAAAATAATATCCAGTACCGATAATCCAAACCATCAACCTCCATTAAAAATACCGTAGCAAAGTACCTAATCAAAGCGTGCAGGGAAAAAGAGAATTTGTCCACGTATTAAATCTCCAAACCTGAGTGAGACCAGGTTCGAAGTCCCAAGGTTCCACATATGGCCGAGCCCAAACTTTTCCACCACAATACTCTGCCAACCAAATTCAATTCCACCTCGACCTCCACCCATTCGATAATTTCAATATAATGCAAACATCAATCGCAAAGATGAGAGAACCGTGAAAGAAAAACTAGAATAAAGCGCACAACGTAAAAGAAGTGATTTCAAAACAAAACAAAAAAACAAAAGATGGCACACCCAAATCGAACGCTTGCACCACCACCATCTCATCCCATCTTAGTCTCCGCCAGATTTATGCATATAAAAAATATGCCAGTAAGACATGCTGTGATATGATATTCGCTCGCTTTCTCAAATAAGTATATGACAACCTCCAACGGGGTGGGTTAAAAACGAAGCGCCAATACTCCCTCTCCATTGCTTTTCGATAATCCTAATGAGAGTCATTTCTTAACCCTGATGAATATTTGGATCTTGTTTGAGATCTGCATCATGGTGACTATAATTATTACTGTCGAGAAAATCGAATCCGCCATGATGTTGATGGGTGGGAAGTTGATGTGGATGACCCAGACTTCCTGTTCGGAGTTGACTTGCTATTTGAGGAGTTGTGTCGTATTGAGATCTATGTGGCAGTCCATCATAGCTGCTTTGGACACTGTGACCAATAGGATGCGATGATAACATAGATTGAGAGTTGGGTGGGGGAAGTTGATACGAATTAGAGGAGAAGGGTTGTGGGGAATTCGACGTGAACGATTGAGATTGTGGAGATGTTGTGTAGAAACTTGAGGCCGGAGATGGATTACTGAAGAAAGATGATGTCCAGCTCACATTTGCTTGCTGGGAGTTCTGGTATTGAGCTGGAGACATGGAAGTGGACATGGAACGTTGAGGTTGGTCTTGTAGGCTTGAGCTACTAGGATCATTGAAATTAACACGCGGTACATATCCGGTAGTGGTATGAATGTAAGAGGAATTGTGCATGTGATCTTCCTGTTGTGGATTGTATCGAACAGAGACGTGCCGAGCTGGTGCATATACATTATCATGTTCTCTCTGATGATTGGAAGACGTTCCTTGTTGTGCTTGCTGAACTTGGATGAGTGACGGCGAGACCGAGCTATGCGGAGTCAACAGCATTGGCGAGGTCGCTATTTCTTGAGGTTGTAAATCATCGTCTTCAAGCTTCATGCCCTCCTCTGGTTCGTCGTCTGATATTTCCGCGCCGTTTCTGTCACCATACATTACCGAAATATAAGTATCGGGGTCTAAGAAGAAGTTAGCCATCTGATGGGACAATATTTAAACCGAAAATAAAATACTGACCTCGCTCGCCATTTTTATACTGCTCCTCCATCCGAGCAACCTTGAATATTTCCTTCAAAAAAGGCTTCTTGGCAGAATTCTCGGGATGATCCTTTTCGGTAAACCAATTCGACATAGCTTCCATGGTAACTTCTTCCAATTTCTTGACGTTGAGGTTTAGCTTTTGAACGGCGGAACATTGCTTATGATATGGCTCGATAATCATTCTCAAAATATGTACCAACAAACGTATTCGCTCTAATGAAGATATTAATGACGATGTCTTTGATTCACATGGTGATGTTGAACTTACCAGGTTTCAAAAGGTGATCTGGTTCTCTGTGGCGAACTGACAAATCTCCACTTGTAGCTGGCCACCATGGCGGGGCATGTTCAGCACCTTTGGTGTATGGGTAATGTGTTTGCTTTCTGGGCTCAACGAGCTTTACAAAAGCTTTTCCCATAACCTTACAAGACGCTTGCTGCATATCCTTGAAACGACAACTGTAGAATTTTGTAACCTCTTCCTCGTCACCTATTCTCAGTAACATTGTCTTCCTCTCTACGATAGGACTTGGTGTATCTTCACTTGAATCATCATATTGATGATGATATCTCTTGGTCTTTTTCGATCCTGTCGAATCATCATCGTCAGAATCCTCTGAACTGTGTCGAAGCTGACGGTGTCGACGCCTCTTTCCAGAACTTGAAGTATTTCCTGT